GAAGGGGCCCACTGATTTGGGGGTGGAAACCTAGTGGGCCCATAGGCTGAGCCGAAGAAGAAGTTCCCCTGCCAAAGAGAGGAGTGTGAGGAACGCCGGGGATAAGGCCGGACACCCTCAGGGTCCCCGGAGGGAAGTCGTAAAGGCCATCATCTTCGGAGACGTCCTCAACCACCACCTCTTCCGAAAGGGGAGGTTGGTCGACAAGCGCCAAAGATAGGGCCCCAGCCGCGGACCCTGCTTCTTCGCCCTCGGTGTCCACCTCTGGGGAAGGATCCCTTCGAGATGATCGCCGGCGGAGTCGAGTGCTCCTGAAAGGAGGAACCCAAGAGGAAGTTGTGTTTCCCGATGGCTCTTGAAGAGGAGTATCGGGAGACACCCAGTATCCAAGACCCCGGAGGTTTGAATCCTTGAAGAGAAGCGCTCGGGGAACCAGATAGCCGTTCTTGAGAAGGAGACGGTAGATCCCATCAAGCTCCGAGTCACGTGGAGGAAAAGTATGAGAAGGACATTTGTCTTCCTTCTTTCGCCACACATTGAGGAAGGGGAGATTCTCCGGGACTACCACCACGAAGAAGCGACGGAACCAGTCATCAAGTTTGTCAACGGGGCTGTCCAAAAACTGCATATCGGTCCGGGCCGTGAAACTCACGTACCCCCAGCCCAACTCACTGTCGTACTTATGTGGACGGAAGAAGGAGAGGAAGAGCTTCAGAGTGAGTTGGATGCCTCTCTTGTGACACCGCGCCAAGAATCCAAAAAGACTCTCGTGGGAGTTTGAGGAAATCTGACCGGGAGGTATGGCGTAGCGGTTGCAAAGTTCGACCAAGAGGGGATGGAGAGGAAAGCGGCATCCCATCCTAACCGAGTCGCAGTGGACGACCAGTCGGCGGGAGATGTCAGGATTGCGCTCCAAAGTAGTACCCGTGGCTTCCTGGACGCCATAATCAGGAGGAATGACTCCCCTCATCTCCCCCAATTGCGCAGGAGTGATGGAGGAAACATTCTCATCCTCCTTGGATTTCTTGCCGCCGTTGAAGATCTTGGAAACCTTGGAGATTGTCTTCTTCATGGTGAGCGAGAGTAAAGGTCTTGGGAAGGAGAGAGGATGATTCGGTAGGGATAAAGGCAGGAGAAGTGAAGAGTTGCGTGTGAGCGTGAAGAAGGAGAGGGGAGAGGGACCGTATTTATAGAGAGAAAGAAGAGGGAGAAGAAACGATCCACCCTCAATATCTCTTTGCAACGGTAAGAATTTTGAATGGCACCTGTTTCGAAACGGCCCTACGCAGCAGTTAAGGGAATCAGAGGGACCGGTCAAAAGGGGTTCGGAAAAATGGGCCATGGGTGTTTAAGTGGCGCAGACTTCCAGGCGGTCCACACTGGCAATTCCCCAGGTCTGCGGCCCTCTGTTGTCACCCCTTTTTCCTGCTATGGTCAGCCATTATTAAGGTGACGTGGGCCATTGGCACCCCAGGCAGTGATTGGAGAGATATGCGGCACCACGATCCAAGGAGTGTGTGACCAAAAGACAGTCCAGTCGGCCAATTATTCATCCAAGGCCTGTGGCCCGCAAAGATGCGCTACAGAAAACATCCGCAGTAAATACAAAGTGAATGATGGGGTTTTCCCCAAAAAGAGGATCTTCGTCAAAAAAAAATTAGGGACAGAGGAGAAACTTTCTAATAGAGCATGCGAGAAAGACTACAGTCAAAAAATCTTTTATTTTTTGACTTGTAAAAAAAGAGGCATGTGATGGGAACCAAGCCCATCGAGAGAATACTAGCGAATTGGGCCCAGGCCCAATTTAGATTCCGTCCATCAAAAGGAGTGTCCAACCCAGAGAAAATATATTGGGCCAGTCAAGGGAAGTTATCCGTGAGGAAAGATAGGAAAAAGGAAAAGGATTGGGGGCTTAAGAATGGGCTGAAGCCCAGCCCACTAAGAATAAGCTACCCCAAAGGAAAGAAATCGTATGGAAGAGTCTAGAGCAGTCCCCCCTAATTGAAGGGACAAGGACAAGGGGAAAGGGACGGACAGGGAGCAAGAGATGGACGGACA